ACCCTACCAGCTCAGCATCTCTGGATGTCCACCCCAGCAGCTCAGTAGCCCCTGCAAACGCATGTCCCTGCTAACCAAGAGCTCTAGAAAAAGTCTTGTGAGAAAATCCTGTTGTCTCACCTTGAGTCCAAGCTGACAGCCCAATAGACCAGGGCTGGTCATATGTTGTCAGCTGCACACACTGCCCAGACAATGGGGTAGAGAGGGGTCATTGTGGTGGGAAATTATCTAGGTACTGTTTCACAGAACAGAAGAGACAGGTGCTGGAGACGATTAGCAGTGGTTTGCGGCCACCATCTTGATCTCTTGGAATACAAGAACCTTAAGTTCTTTGTGGAAACAGAAGCAACAGAATACAGAGCAACAGAAACGTGTTACCGAGACTAGTGCACATGACCATGGAGAAGTCCCCTAATATGCCATCTATGAGCTGAAGAACCAGTGATGGGGTTCAATGAGTGTGGAGTTCTGAGAAGCAGGGGAGCCCATGGTGTCATTCTCAGGCCGAGGCCCAAGCCTGAGAGACCACTGAGGTAAATCCTAGAGTGTGAAACTGTCACAACTGAGAACTTTGATGACAGAGGACAGGAGTGCAGAAGACAGTCTCAGCTTGGCCTTTTGTGCTCTTAGCTTGGGCTCTGTGTGGATAGGATGGTGCCTGTCCAGATTAGTAAGATCCCATCTTCTTTACTCAGTCGACCAGCAAGATTCCTGCTGACACCTAGAGATGATGCTTAGTACTATTTGGGTTTAGGCCCTGCTGACATATATAACAACCATGGCCCCTGGGCAAGATGCCTATTGGCATTTCCAATAGGACATCTAAATGCCTCTGAAAGGAAATACCACAAGTCAAGAGTGCAGCTAGGGCTTGTCATGGTCCCACATGCATAAGGAAGATTCCATTGCTTTCTACCTGTAGGTCACAGTGTAAATCAAGCTGGAGCTTCCTGGTAAATGAGTACTTATTAGACAAGGTTTGTATCAAGCTTGCTAGACTGACACTCCACCACTGCCTCTGACAGTGTGTCTCCACTACAAGGTCCAAGAAACCTCTGGGCAAAGAAGAAGCAAGGCCATGACTTCAGGGACAGGAATATGGTAAACTAGGAGGCAGGACAGCGGTTCCATGGTTCCCCATTGACAGAGTGAACATAATGGGGTCGTCAGTAGAACAGGGAAGAGTCTCTTTACCTACCCACACAGAGCCACTTTATAATCACCATTCCTACCCTGCAAGTAGTTTATTACCATGATCACCTAAAAACAACAGCCACCCACATACACTCTCTTCTTTCCTTTTCACCTCTTGCAGCCGACCTTACTCTGGGATCATTTTTCTTTGTGCATTTCCCTTAGTGAGGATCTGCTCTTCGGTTTTTATTCATTCAGCGTTCCCTCAAGGTGGAATGAAAGGCTGGCACCTCATTTTCTTCACTACTCTGAAGGCATCCTCACCACAGCTCTTTCAAAGCTATCACTCTGTTATTACAATAAAAAAAATTACTTCCCTAATTCTGTCTAATCTCAAGAATTTTTTTTTTAAGTCTTTCTAAAGTTGCACGGACATGTTGGTTTAGAATTCTTTTTCCTAATCCTGCCCCAACTGTATTGAGCTTCTGGCTTGGCACTGTGCTGGAGGTATCATCCCTTGCACTCCTGCCTCTGCTTCATTCTTTTGTTCTTTTGCTTTCCTTCTGACCCTATGAGTAAACGAGCGTTATAGCATATGATGAAATCTAGCCTACTCTTATGCACTCCTACTGTCCTTTGCTCTGTCTCCTTCAGGACAATTTATTTAATTCCATGAATGATTCCTCAACTGTGTCTAATATGCTGTTAAACACAACACATCCAAACATTTTGGCAATTATAGTTTTCCATTTCTAGAAGTTCTATTTTTTTAGAGCTGTTTATTTAAACTCTTTAATATAGTATGTTTTGGTCATATTGTTTTTTCCTCCCCCAACTCCTTCCAGATCCTCCCTCCCTAACCAACTTTGTATTTTTTTTTCTTTTAAAAGATAAAACCAATCCAAAACAAATTTTAAAAGCACACATAAAAGGACACAGTAATAACAATTAAAACCAAACCAATCAAACAAACAAAAACATAGAGTCCATTTTGTGTTGGCCAACTATTCCTTAGTATGCAGCCTGACCAGTGGTGTGGTTGCACTTAGTGTCACTTCACTGAAGAAAACAGATTTTTCCTCTCCCAGCAACTATCAATTGCAATATCTTTTTTTTTTTACTAGGTGTAGGACTTTGTGTCCACTTCCCCTTCTCTGTTTTAAGGCTGGCTACTTAAAATAGAATCCATACCCTGACTTTTGGTTTAATCTTTATTTATTGATTGATTGATTGCATTTTTGAGACAGGGTTTCTCTGTAGCTTTGGTGCCTGTCCTGGAACTAGCTCTTGTAGACCAGGCTGGCCTCGAACTCACAGAGATCCGCCTGCTCTTGCCTCTCAAGTGCTGGGATTAAAGATGTGCGCCACCATCGCCTAGCTCATACACTGACTTTAATGAGGCCAAGAACCTGAAGTTAGATAGGCCATGGATCCTAGGGGAAAATCTACTAGAATCATTCTGCTAAATGAATAGCAATAAAATGACTCTTAATGACACAGTGCTATATCCATAAACCAGTGCACTGCTGTACCCTCATCAGAGAATCTTTTTTTTTTTTTTTGCTGTAGAGGTAATTAACACAGAAAATCGCATGTGGAAGGGACAACATGCAGAGAATGAGGGCCTTTGGCACAGTCAGCTCTAAGTGGGGTGTATGATATCCCTTCCCTCAAGGAGTGGAGATCTGTATTAAAGAGGAGGCTGAAAGACTGTAAGAGCCAGAGGTGGCAGACAACTTCAAGGAAACAGCCCTTGCTATAGACAAGAGGGCTGATGCAGATATTCACCCACAGGCACTGTGACAGTACGTCGTAGATCTGAACAAATTCAAGCTAGAATGCTTAGTTTTTATAGTTTCCTGTTTTCTGCCAATATTTTCCAACTTGATTTTCTTTTCCTCTCGACAATTACCACTTTCTTTTTTTTTTACTAATCTGTGTCTGGCAACTGCAATGGCTACTCTCTCTGAAGTCTAGCTTCTGTGGTCCACTACTCCTGTTTCTGCTATTTCCTGACACTAATGCTACTTAATTTTGACCATGTGCTAGCTATTGCATAAAGAATTCTCCAAAGCATAGCATGAAAGTATGGTGGTTTTTTGTTTGTTTGTTTGAAGATAGGGTTTCTATGGCTGTCCTGGAACTAGTCCTTGTAGACCAGGCTGACCAGGAACTCACAAATATCTGCCTGCCTCTACCTCCTGAGTTGTGGGATAAAAGGCGTGTGCCATCACCACCTGGCCGAAAGTGTGTTCTTTTATAAAGAACTTATACTTCTGGCGTGCTTGACATGAACTGGCATCAAGTTTAATATCCAAGCTTCCTAGGTCTCAATTCAATCTGTGAGGGCTCAGGTACTCTGGTTTCCTGTTCACCTTGACGGTGGAGTCTGTTGGGATCTCAGTTCATTACTCTCTAAGACAGTGGGGCGCTGAGGGTTGACTTCTTTTTCCCTTTCCCTCCTTAGCCTATCAAAGCCAGTTTCTAATCTGGACACCAGCATATAGTCAGCCTAAAGATACGGTGGCTTTTGTCCTTGTGGTCGTTGCTTTTTCCATCACTGTGACAGAGTACCCGACTGAAGCCACTTAAGAGAGGCAAAGCAGATTTTGGATCACAGTTTCAGGCCATCACTGTGGGGAAGGTATGACCTAGTGGCTTGTGGGAGCACAGGGAAGCAATCTTCACACTGTAGCCGGTCAGGAAATGGAAAGAGCTGAGTAGAGCTGGGTAGAACTAGATATAACTTAAAGCCCACCGTGGTGACCTGTTTCCTCCAGCTTGGCCCCACATCCCAAAGATTCTGCTAAACAAATGACATTCAAATGATAACTCTTATTTATCTTTCTGGGCCTCCCTTGTTTCATTATAATCTCTCCCTGGTAATCCCCATCGTCACGCCAACTCTATGAAGGCTTCTAAAATTACAATTGTTGGAAACTAGTTTTTAGTGGTGGCCTACTGGAAACAGGAAGTCACACAATACCTTCCCTGCACTAAGGAAACACGCAATAAATGATTGCATTAGCCAATCGTTTCGCTTCCCTCAACCATGCTCCATTGCTTGTCTGTATTTACCTGCAAGGCTGTTTTTAACTTGCAGAATTCTCATACCCTCTCCCCAGCCCAAGAATAACACCTGTACTATTGTTTGACAAGATGCTACACATATGCTACCTTTCCCCCAGATGGTTGTTTTCCCTTTTTTTTTCCAGACCTGAGTGTCATAACTTACTCATTTAGAACCCCACACATTGGCCTGTGCATCTCTTTCCCAGTGCCTAGCCACATTGGGTTGCATTTATGTGATTCTTATCTCTCTGGTGGAGATGTATTTGTCATTTCTGACTTCTGAAGAATCCCCTCACTTCCTGTCCAGATGAGCACACATCCTACACAGCTTTCTGGAGAATCTGATACACAGGGTTTCACTCTGAATGCTCTGTCTGCTGTGAACCTGAGATGGAGTATGTTCTGTGGATAGGCTGCTCTCCCACGTACCACTTCGGGGAAACTGGCAGCCTCTGGCTGCGGTATTGCTCTCTCCACACGTGTGTGAGAAACAGTACAACAGGAACCAAACACAGGCAGAACGGGGTCACAGCGCCACAACCAGAACCCATGCCTTCACCCCAAGCCTTCCTCCTGGGCATCACCGTTCCTTCTCATGCGCTTGTGCCGTTAATCATTTCTGCTACAGGGGCACCTGGGACTCTTTGGAAATCATTTGGTGCAGGGATGTATACGAGGCACCTGAAAGTGGCCACAGACAGCAGGCGAGGCGGGGAGAGAGGTGTGTGAAGGTGTCTCTGTGAGGTTTCTTATAAACACTTTTCAGATGGCTTCTGTGGCTCAGGTTTGCTTACCTCACGATTTTGGTGCCATTTCTCACAACTTGCATGTCCACCATGCAGCCTCCGGTAACATAAGCAGCCAGGTTCAGCTCAGAGAACTCAGCCTGGAGGAGAAAGCAAAACAAACAAACAAACAAACAAAAACGAGACATCAAACACTACCAGGGTAGGATGCTTGTGTTTACTGTACATTTCTATTATTATGCAGTACACATTCAGGTTCATCTCAAACTTAGCAATGGAATTTTTATCTCTCTTTGAAAGAGGAAGCCGAGAGGCAGGTGACGTGCTCAGGACCACATGATGAGCACATCAGTTAGAAGCCATGAGTTTCTGATTCAAAGGCCCACTGTCATAACCACAACTCGCTTCTGCCTCCCTGGAAGCAGCCACTCTCAGTCTGACTAGAAGATGCCACTGTTAACAGGCTGATTTCCCTAGAGCAGTCAGTTCTGTGCTATGCTCTTTGTCAGCCCCATGCTGCTGATTCCAAGGCTCAGGTAACAGGACTCCTTGAAATTATCTGCCCAATATCCCTCTCTTAGCAACGGCCTCCTCCCTCATCCCACACATGTAGCTACAGTGGAAGCAATATGGCTGTGTCATTTTGATCACCTTTGACGGGCAGGCATCTAATACAATGTGAGGGAATGACAGACTCCTATCTGAGATGTTAAAACTACTGAGCAAGATATGGTGCTTTGAAAAAAATGGGCCCCAAAGGGAGTGGCACTTTTAGGAGATGTGGTCTTGTTGGAGGAAGTGTGTCACTGTAGAGGCGGGCTTTGAGGTCTCATGTTCAAGCCATGCCCAGTGAGACAGACCACTTCCTGTTTGCCTGATCATCAAGATGTCGGAATCTCAGCTCCATTTCCAGCACCAAGTCTGCCTTCATGCCATTACGTTGCACCATGATGATAATGAACTAAATTCCGAAAATGTAAGCCACCCTGAATTAAATGTTTTTCCTTTATAAGAGCAGTCATGTTCATAGTGTCTCTTCACAGCAATAGAAACCCTAGCTAAGACACAAGACATGAAGTTTGTTTCTAGGGGGTTGTATCTCTTTGTTGTCTGTTTTGTTTCTTGGCATAGGGTTGTATAAAAATGAATACAGGCTGACCTCAAACTCACTTCACGGCAGAAGATGACTCTGAACTTCTGATCCTCCTATGTCACCTCCTAAGTGCTGAAATTACAGATATGCACCACAATGACTTGTTTAGTGCTGTGGATGGAACCAGGGGCTTTGTGCATGCTAGGCTAGCACTCTGCCAACTGAGCTACATCCCCAGCCCATAGGTAGTTTATATCTTTAATGTACAAGCCTGGTGCTACTTGGGATCATATTTATTACTAGCTGTGTTAGGGAAGCGTGGGAAACCAGAGTGTAAGAAACTGAAGAACAGGAGGAAGAGTGGGGGGAGGAGGATGAGACAAGGAAGAAGGAAAGATATATCACAATCACCAGGAGAGGGTGAGGGGGACAGAAGCAGGAGATGGAGAACTCTCTTGATAGTCCTGTCTGGTGTGTACTTTCGTGCTTCCTCATCTGTTTAAGGCATTAGTGAAATTGCATTGCGTTTAACCAGAGTTCTGTGGAATAATGCGTATCTTTGGCTACACTGTATGCTCCCTGGAGATAGAGACATGCTGCTATGACTATCTCTATCATATGTTTAGAATGCTGTAATGACGATTCCCCTACTGGGTGTTTTAAATGGCAGGAACTTACTCTACAGATTTGGGCTAAAAGTTCAAAATCAAGGTGCTGGTTCAACTGGTTTCTTTTGAAGGCTTGTTAAGGGTGGGTCTACTCTAGGCTTCCTCTCTTGAAGAGCACCATTTCCCCTGAATCTCTTCTCAGTGTTTGTCCCTAATATCTAAATCTCCCCTTTTATAAGGACATCAACCATATAGCTTCTCACTCTAATGACCTTATTTTTGATTGATGGCCTCTTTAAAGGTTCTCTTTCCAAGTAAGGTCACATTCTGAGGTACTGTATGTTAGATTTTAAACTATGATTTTTAAAAAGTTTAACTGTATTTATCTGTTCTTTAAGAATGTCAGATATGGGGCTGAATGGATGATTTAGTAGTTAGAGTGTTATTGCTTTTGCAGAGGACCCAAGTTTGATTCTAAGAGTCCACATCAGGTGGCTGCAACTCCAGCTCCAAGGGATCCCATGCCATAGACTCACACATATACTCATAACAGTCACTGGAGCATGGATAACCAACCATGAGGCACACTCCTGGGGAAAAAAAAACTGTTTGTCCCTTAGCAGCCATCAATTGCCAATAGCTCTCATCTGAGTGTAGTCCTCATGAATCCCTCCACCATCCATAATGTAGTGTTGACTGGCCTGATCTGGTGTAGATCGTGTGTAGGCAGCCCCAGCTGCTGTGAGCTCATGAGTACAATGGCCCTATCATGTACAGAAACAGTATCACTGTTAAAATCTTTCTACCTCCTTTCTATGATGTTCATCTTAGGGGAGTGTGATATAGAGATGCCCCATTTGAATCTGAGCACTAAACAGCCACATTCGTTTGGAATTTGGCTAACTATGAGTCTCTGTGTTAACTGATGCCCACTGTAACAAGGGACATATCTAATGAGGGGTGATAGCTGCATTAATCTATGAATATAAAATTCATATATTAATTTTATTAATTAAAAAAAGCAGATTGATGCTGTTTTCATTGAGAAGTACAACAAAAGTAGGGTTCCCTCTAGGGTATATGATCTTTCCAGCCATTGGGTTCCAGGTCAGACTTACAGTATCAGGTATAAGTTCCTTTCTGTGGAATGACCTTAAATCCAAACCAAAGGCAGCTGGTTACCCAGATAGTATTCATGCCACTATGGCATCAATGGGCACATCTTACCAGCAGTTTGTTATTGAAGCTCACAGAAGCCACAACTAGGTAAGACTTCTGGTGACCTCTCTCTCTCCTTCAATAGCCTGTAGAGCACCTCTGGCATGGTGAAAGATATTTAGCAGGGAGGAAGCTTCTATCTTGGTATCACCTTTATTTCTTTTGTTCTGTGACAAAACTGTGTACGGTCTTCAGCAATGGGTTCTTAACATCAAGCTCATTGGGGTGACCAAGAGTAATGGGAATTGTCTCTATTGTTTGTGGGGGTCTACTGGATACCCCCGATGAACAGGAGGTATCCCACACCTGGCACTGTTCTCTAGCCCATGAGTTTTGGTGATAGTGTCATCATTTAAAAGTAATAATACCAAAGTGTCTTGTTCACAGGAACAGCCAAAAGTCTTTCTTTGGATGTAATGAACCAACCTAACTGTTCTCACATTCATTGCTCAATATGTGCAAGGTTTTGGTCTAAGCATTTCACACACATAAATCTATGTAACCCTGGTCCAGGTAAGGAAGTGAAGGAAGACAGAGATTAGCTATATGCATGTATCACACAATGGGCAGCAAAGTCCAAGATTTAACCCTAGGCAGTGTTCTCTAGGGATTGTACAATAGACAATTTACACTTTATTGCCTCTCCCTGAAGTTGCACGAGGCCACATTAATGCTCAGAGATTGTAGGGCTTATAGTGTTTTGAATAAGAATGTCCCTCACAGGCACAGATATTTGAACTCTTGGTCCTGGTTGGGAGCACTGTTTGGGGGAGGGTGAGGAGGCATAGACTTGCTGAAGGTAGTGTGTCACTGAGGGTGGGCTTTGAGAGCTTACAGCCTCACATCACGTGCAGTTTTCTCTCTCTGCTTCATGCTTTCAGCTGAGGATGTGAGCTTTCAGTGTCTTGCTCTGCCTGCCATCCCTGCCTACTGCCACGCCTTCTCTTCATCATAGGGAACTCCTACTCTGGAGCAGTAAGCCAAAATAAACTGGTTCTATATGCCACTTTTGGTTGTGGTGTTTTAGCACAGCAAAAGTAAGTCATATATGGACCTTAAGCACTGTTTAAAGAGAACGAGGTTTTAGTGGGGGAAAATATCACTTTGTAAAGATCTAAACGTATCACCCTGCAGCTATTTATGAGGAACTATGACAAAGGGCCTGACTCTCTCTCCAGATGGTATTAAGGGAAATCAAGAACACTTATGTTTCTTGCTCTAATTAATAACCTCATTACGTTGTGGCAAGGTGAAAAGAAAAGATCATTGCTAATGAGCCCACGTTGGTAAACTGCGGTAATAACCTAGCTATTATGTCTGATGCCTTCCAAATTCAGCTCCAGATTGCTCAAAAATACTTAATTGGCAACATCAAGGAGAGTTTTAAAAAGGCTAGTGCATGTGTGTGGCAGGGAAAGAAGTTAAAAGGAAGTTGCAAAACAAGAGAGCTGGTTATTAGATATGTGAAGAAAAGCAATGAACCGAGAGAGGTACAGATCCAGGAGTTGTCTTGCTACCCAAAGGGAAAAAGAAATTCCTGGATATAAAAACTATTCAGGCTTTGATAGAAAAGTTAAAAGTAAGGTTCATCCCTTCACGTGCTCCCAATGGTTCATAGATTCAGTGGATACTGAGGTGGGCCAACTCATAGCCCCGGTTCTAGGCCTGGGGGGTAGCTGGGTTAGTCAGCTCGCTAACTTTCCCTCATCAGCACCACCTGGACAAGCTCTCCAGAACTGCCTGGGCTAGCTCACCCAATGCACCTACACAAGGAGCAGGGCCAGTTCTCATGCTCTTAGGGCCCCAGATCCAGGCGATCCTCACTCATATTACTAGGGCTAGCTCTACTGTTTTGGCCTGGCAAGGTGCAGGATCCTCTCTCCTGATTGCTACAGGGAGCATAAGAGGGGGATGGGCAGAGTCAGTTCTTCTGTTCCCATGGCCTACGGCTGGCTCACCTGCCACCCCAGCAACAGGGTCAGCTCTAGAGTACTGCCCAGAGTACAGAGGCCTGATCTCCTGTGTGTCTCCATGACACAGGACAACAACAGGATATCCATGAGGAGCCCTAGTGAAAGCCCAGTAACATTGGTGTAGCAGACACTAGAGACCTCAAGTCAGACCAATGACTCATGTCAATGAATGCTTGCAAGTAAACATGAATGGACTAAAGGGTAGCTGTGTATCTCAATGGGCCATACTTCAGCTTCCATGACAAGAT